TGGAAACGACCTATAAGATCATCCAGTCCAACCGTCTCCTCATCACCATTGCCACCACAAGCACTAAATCATAGCACGCAGCACGTCATCCAGACGCGTCTTGAACACTGCCAGGGACGGCAACTCCACCACCTCCCTGGGCAGCCATTCCAGTGCCTGACCACTCTCTTGAGAGAAAAAGTTCTTCCTTATGTCCAACCTAAACCTCCTCTGATACAACTTGTGGCTATTGCCCCTTGTCCTGCTCGTTGCTTGGGAGAAGAGGCCAAATCCCTCTTCATCACAACCTCCCTTCAGGAAGTTATAGAGAGCAATGAGGTCTCCCCTGAGCCTCCTCTTCTCCAGACTGAACAATCCCAGCTCCCTCAGCCGCTCCTCATAAGACTTGTGCTCCAGACCCCTCACCAGTTTCGTTGCCCTTCTCTGGACATACTCCAGGACCTCAATGTCTTTCCTGTAGTGAGGAGTCCAAAACTGAACACAGTACTTGAGGTGCAGCCTCACCAGTGCTGAGTAGAGGGGGATGATCACCTCCCTGCTCCTGCTGGTCACACTGTTTCTAATGCAGAAAAGACTCTCACAAAGAACTATGGCAGCAGAGACCATGAAATAAAATATTATCCAATTCTAATGCAGAAACAACATTTGATTCCTACAAAGCTGATTCTGAAATGTTAAAACTAACCATAATACTTCAAGATTTACTTGTTGCTCCTTCATTATTGAACTCCGTATAGTTCCCAACTGCTCTCCTTCAGTCCTGCAGAACGTTGCAGGCACATGCCAAACAATCTCTCCGAAGTTCAGTTGGGCGGTGCTGCTGGCCCAGGCTTGCTCAGCTTCTGGTTGATTTCATAAAATCATAGGATTGCTCAGGTTGGAGAAGACCTTAAAGATCATCAAGTCCAACCACAACCTAACCATATTACCCTAACTCTAACCACCCTCTGCTAAATCATGTCCCTGAGCATCACATCCAAAGCACACACCCAGTAATGGTGTCTCAACCACCCCCTGGGGAGCCCATTCCAGTGCTTAACAACCCTTTCTGTAAAGAAGTGTTTCCTGATATCCAACCTAAACTTACCCTGGAGCAACTTAAGGCCATTTCCCCTCATCCCGTCACCAGTGATAAGGGAGCAACCCGACTCTCGCTGTGAGCACCTTTCAGATATTGGAAGAGAGCAATAAGGTCTCCCCTCAGCCACCTCTTCCCCCGACTAAACAGCTCCAGTCCCTTCAGTCTCTCCTCGTGGGACATATTCTCCAAGCCCTTCACAAACCCTGTTGCCCTTTGGGCCTGCTCCAGCACCACAATGTCTCTCCCTGCACAGCTTCACTACATACTTGTAATCATCATAAGTAGCTTGCCCACTCTTCCAGAGACCATAAACTTTCCTTTTGTTCTTGAGTTCCAGCCAAAGATCTGCCCCACATTGGGCAGCATTTGCAACATCTGATGCATGGACTCAGATGTGAACGATCCAAGTCCTTTATTACAAGTGTTCACATCACTTATATATCTTCACAATTTTTTTTTTTTTTTTTTTTTTTTAAAGCTTTCCCACCCACCCTTACAGCTGTCCATCTTACCAGTTTCACTCCCAGCTTCAGCTGGAGATTCATTGTTTTGAATGGTTGGTTTGGTTTATCTCGACCATCCAGGTGTCTTTGATCCCTGACCCAGGTATCACTGCATTTTTCACCTTTCTGTTGTTGTCTAGTCAGGAGGGATGACTTCTGTAAATAACAACTTGAGTCTTCACAGTGTTGTTTTCTGGAACATACACTGTGAATTTGTCTTTCACCAAATGTGGTTTAGGCCTGTAGTTCATTCAAGATATTAATGGCAGTGGGCAGTCAGGCCCTCCTCAAATTGCTCGGTGACAGAATCTGCAGCTCCCTCAAGGCACAGTTGCACGCCAAATTCCTTCAGGGAGAGCCATAACCAATATCCCCCAGCAAGATGGGAGCTTCAGTTGTTATTTTTCACAGATCCCAGGGTTCCACACTTTCAATCACTTCTCCAATTCATCACTTACTACTGTTTTCAACAAGTCCCCTCCGCAGTTTCCTCAACCAGCTGCTCCATGTCTGGAATGTGTGAATTGCTTTCATGCATTGTAACACACACACACACTGCTGCAGCCACAAAAGTAACAATTAACAAACATACAAAAACTTAACACAAGCTGCAGATTTGCCACGTCAATAAGAGACTCTTTAAAGGTACCCAACCCTATAGCAGTGCAATCCTGGGGCAGACCTTCCCATCACCTAATCCCTATCTTAAAGAAGGGAGAGAAAAAAGGTGAGAAGAAAAAAAAAAAAAAAAAAAAAAAAAAAAAACAAGAACAACAAAACAAAACCCAAAACAACAACAAAAACCAAACCTCTCAGTGCCTACCCCCAACCCACCGACATCTCGGCAGTCGGATCCCATCCTCATCACCAGTTATGTTTCAGGGTACGTTTGGATCTGAGAGGCAGGACGTCTCAGGAGCAGAGGCAAGCAAAATGTACACTCAGAGCAGCACAGAGAGTTATGGATTTTATTCAACATACACACACACACACATCCATTTTAGATAATCCCCATAAGGGAAGCAGAAGCTCCCTAAGCAAGTGCATTCTTACTTACCGACACTTGAGAGACAGCAAGCTGCCAGAGGAGAGAGCAGGAACACAGTGGCAGTGGATTTGATAGGCAGTGCCAGCAGAGCATCCTCTGCTTCAAAGCGTACTTTTCCTTCCTCCACACCACAGCCTCTCTCCTGCTTTGATTTTTCCCCAGGGTCTGCAGGGCTTTTTGCATTGCTGTACCTGCATAGCCAGTGCATGATACAGAGCTCAAGTGGAACACCTGTTTGCAAAAAAAAATAAAAATAAAAATAATAATAAAAAAAATGAACTACCAAGGTCAGCTTCCTCTACAAAACCTACAGCCACAAATACCAGCTCCCTTAAAGCAGTCAGAATGCTTTGTTCCATCCCAGGATCATTCTTCAGTCAGGGGCATTTAGATTTCCAACACAACCTTTCTGGTCACCTGGGGAGCACAGGTGCAAACAATCTGCCTGTGCTCCCTAGGGCAGCCACAGCCCTTCACCAGGTGCTCAGTCACCATTTTAAGCTCTGACCTAACAGCTCCCCTGCAGTGGGTCAGTCAGAGACATTGGGTGGGATGCAAGTAGTGCCTTTGCAATACTAATGGGTGCAGTTATATTGTCTGATGTGCTCTTAATTGTTCAGATGGTGCAGATTTGGTTTTGGAAACTGAGCATATCCAAAACTAAAATCATGCTGTAAACAGCCACAAACATTGATTTGGGATGATAAGAAGAAATGGCTGAAAATAAATTTTAATTGATCCTGCATATAATCAATGGATATCAAGATGTTACAGTATAATCAAGAGAGTTAGGCAAAGTGGACAATGATAACAAAAGAGAACAAAATGGGAGGCTTACCCTTTGGCTGGGCTCACCACAAAACACCAATAGAGGCGATCTCCAGAAGAGATCCTTCCCCTCTGGTAGCCAGCTCTTAAATAGGTCTTCTTCATTCACAGAAGAAGCAGAATTGCCTTCAGCTGTGCTCCTCTGGCTGGCTCATGGCTCACCTCAGGTGATCAATCAGAGGTTCAGGCCGTGACTCAGTAGATCCCATACACTCCACCCCTTCACGGCATGAACCAATGATCAGGTTAACTAAAGGGTAAGCTTTCCCTAATACAGAGATACAGTATATCACGATGCTTATACAATTTTATCACAACGTGTGTTGGTACAATTCAAGACGAGTGATGATCAGTGGATGTCTATATTCTTCTATGGGCCAGTGCTCGATGATGTGACTGGAGGCATGAGGTCCTGAGGTGCAGGTCCGTTCTATGTTCCATCAGTCCCATGCAGACCACCACCGGGTGTTGTATGTGATCTGTCAGCAACACTGGAACACTTGATGGCATTTTGTTCCTTCCGGTGGTCCTGAAGGCTCACAGGGAGTAATACAGATGTTTTACAGGTACCAGGAGGGGAAGGTCTGCTCTCCAGGGCAAGATACAAGCCGTATTTCTATCCTGGGTCAACACTTCCCCTTGTACTGGGGCACGTCCTGGCTGCCTGTACCACACCTTTTGGCCGGATATCTGCGGCTGCATAACGATATCAGGCACCAAGGGAGGTGTCCTGATCTGCCATAGGGACAGGATGGGGGTCCCTTTAGCAACAAAGATCAGAGTGTTGACCACAATATCAGTAGGCGATGTACCTATTACTGGAGGGACTACTGAGCCTCCCACCTCCAATAGTCTCCCCCAAGGTGCAAGTAGGCTACACCACTTGGGTCCTACCTGCACCTTCCAAGGCCATTTTATTTTATGGGTACCCGGCTCTAAATTCTCAGAGGCAGGGAGCAGAAGATTATTTTCGTTACCAATCTGGGGTCTTACGTGATGATCAGTGCCCGTAATTTGGATCCTAAGCAGGGTGGCCCATGTCTGCAACATTCTCAGGGCACTGGGTCTGCCGTCTCAAGGTCTTTCATTCAGGTCCCGCAGGGTTTCATACAGTCTTTTCGTCCACCCCTGCAAGGACTGGGAGTCTGTCTTCAGGGCAGCCTTAAGAATACCGTTATAACGTTCGATGAGGCCTGCCCTCGTTGGATTATATGGCAGGTGGAATCGCCATTCGATGTTATTTTCTCCTGCCTGGCTCGCCAAGCGTATAATCAATGGATATCAAGATGTTACAGTATAATCAAGAGAGTTAGGCAAAGTGGACAATGATAACAAAAGAGAACAAAATGGGAGGCTTACCCTTTGGCTGGGCTCATCACAAAACACCAATAGAGGCGATGTCCAGAAGAGATCCTTCCCCACTGGTAGCCAGCTCTTCAATAGGTCTAGGAGGGGTGCAGCCTGGCTCCACCCCTTCTGGCAGCACAGCGGAATTGCCTTCAGCTGTGCTCCTCTGGCTGACTCATGGCTCCCTCAGGTGATCAATCAGAGGTTCAGGCCATGACTCAGTAGTTCCCATACATCCTGTAACACAGCGAAAGAAATAGGGAACTGACATGAGAGACATGAGCTGTTGTAGAATACATCCAGAGTGTAACCCATATGTATGCGAGTTGTGCTCCTTGTTGTTATGGAGCCTCCATACTTGGAAACATTCAGAAGCTGTCTGGACATGGTCCTGGACAACTGGCCCTGCTTTACCAGGGCTGTTGAGTGGGATGACCTCTAGAGGACCCTTCCAACCTCAACCATTCTGTGGTTCAATGTATGAAAGTGACAGGAACTTTTGAATGATGTACAAGGCAAACTGTATGCAAGGTTGCTCTGTCTGGAGAAGAGGAGGCTCTGGGGACACCTCATTACAACCTTTCAGTGTCTGAAGGGGGCTTTTAGGACAGACAGATCCCCGCTGTAATAAGTAGGAGTGCAGCTGCTGTATGTGCTCCCTCACCTGTAGCAGGAAAGTGGGAGGATGACTTAGTGCTATTAATTATGACAGTGGTCTTTATCCTTCTGTGAATGCTTTGCTTGTTTCAAAAGGAAAGAATGTGCTTACATACCTAGCTGAACATCTCACACATGCTGCTGTGCTGACAGTCGTGGTGGTTCCCAGCCGGAAGGGAATGAGCTGATGAGCCTCCAGAGTGGTCTGTGTGTCCTTGGAGAAGGTCAGTCAGACCAGGGGGTGGCTGTGAGCAAGAAGTCCCGCTGGAGCACACGGCCCTGTGCAGCGAAGGCTTCAAGGCAGCCTGCAGCAGAGCTGTGGGAAAGAGGCATCTCTACTGAGGCTCTCTGGTATGAAAGCTACCAAGAAGAAATAATAGAATCATTTGAGTTGAACCTTAAAGGCCATCTAGTCCAACTCTCCTGCAATGAACTGGAACACCTACAGATAGATAAGGTTGCTCAGAGACCTGCCCAGCTTGACCTTCAATGTCTCTAGGGGCAAGGATTGAACCACCTCTCTGAGCAGCCTGTTCCAGTGCCACACCACTGATGGTAAAAAGCTTATATCCAATCTAGATCTTCCCTCCTGTAGTTTGAAACCATTTCCCCTTGTCCTATTGCAACAGACCCTGCTGAAGAGTCCATTTGCTTCTTTATTCTACCTCCCTCTAGTTACTGAAAGGCTGCTCTCAGGTCTCCCAAGAGCCTTCTCCAAGCTGAACAGCCCCAGCTCTCAACCTGTCCTCATCGGAGAGGTGTTCCATCCCTTGGATCATTTCTGTGGCTCTCCTCTGGACACACTCCAACAGGTCCATGTCTCTCCTGTACTGAAGACTCCACATCTGGATGCAGTACTCTGGGTGAGGCCTCACCAGCACAAAGGGGCAGGGTCACCTCCCTCGCCCTGCTAGCCACACTTCTTTTGACGTGGCCCAGGATACAGCGCACTTTCTGCGCTGTGAGAGCTGCAATTTGTGCTTGGTCTGAGCTGTCTAATAATCAGATGAGGTTAACCCAAGGGGAAAACAAGGTGAGGTGGGGAGCCAGGCTGCCTACAGCAGTGTCCCTGCCTGTAGCACTTTGTAAAGCTGATGTTTCATCAATGGTGGTCTCAGAAAAAACGCAAGTATGCCTGTAGCAAAGCTGGGACAGATGGGGAGTGTATAATCAATGGACATTAAGATATTATAATCACAAAAAAGAACAAGAGAGTTAGACAAAGTAGACTAAGATAACAAGAGAATAAATGGAGAGCTTACCTGTATGCTAGGCTCACCTACAGAAAGCACCAGAAGGAGGGATCTCCAGATGAGATCCTTCCCCACTGGTAGCCAGCTCTTCAATAGGTCTAGGAGGGGTGCAGCCGGGCTCCACCCCTTCCGGCAGCACAGCTGAATTGCCTTCACCAGTGCTCCTCTGGCTGACTCACGGCTCGCCTCAGGTGATCCTTCAGAGGTTCAGGCTGTGACTCAGCAGTTCCCATACAGGGAGGAGGTTGGGTGCAGGTTGTTTGAGTGTGGGAGCAGCAATGTGAGAGTGGCAAAAAGGACCTGGATGCTGAAGAATGAAGGATGAGATCTGGGACCCACCAGAGATGAGCAGAGGACAGGTCTGCCAGCAGCAGGAGTGCCAACACCTACAGCTGGTAGTAGTGCTGACCTATGCACAAGCACAGGAGGACGTCTGGAGCCACTGACAAGGCTCCCATTGGGTTGGGGTGGGGGAATATGCCTGCCCCTCAGCATGAACACAACTGCAGCTTGGTGTAGTGGTGCACCCCCAGACCACTGCGATCTCAGCAAAGGCCACCACTGTGCTTTCACCTTTGTTCAAGTGCAGAGTTGGGCTCGTGATCATTGTCTGATCTGAGAGGTGTGAGAACTGTACAGCAGCAGGCTGTGGTCCTCGACCTTCCCCTGAGCTGGGACACTGCTCTGAGTACACTTCTTATGACTTGCTGCTGACTGACATCAAAGAAGAGGAGCCCTTTTGAGACAGATGGCCTCATCTGCTGAGAGCTGATGAATGAGGAGCAGGTAATTCACCAGGAGAAAGGTCCTTGTGTGCATAACTGACTTCAGAACTGGATACCCTTCAAGTCAACCTCACCATTCTCAAATCTTCAACTAGACATCTGTATTTGATTGTAGCATGTGCTATTGAATCTTTGTGTCAAGTTGGCTAATAATTAAATGCTGATTAAGTGCTACTAATAATCAAATAATCTTGTGATTTATCTTAAAGGTATTATCAGTTCATAAATTGCTGCTAAATCAGAGTTCTGTGAAAACCTATTCCCAGCAGTTGCTGCTGGAGGTGTGTGTGATTGCATGGATCCAAGATCTGCTTGTAACTTCCTGTGCGTAGTGCTCTGTGTAATTATGTCGCCGAGTCACTGGTGTGTTACTTAAGATTATTGATTACTTTTCTGTTTTCCCACTTTCCTTGTAGTGTGTTCATCAGCCAATAAACAGTTGTGTTCATCAGCCAATAAACAGTTTGCCTCAAGTACATTTTGAGTAATTGCTCCAACAAGGGAGAGCCAAAGCTTGACACAGTCGCAAGCTGTGAGTGTGGCCCATGCTGCAGAAGTGCTGGGTGCCACAAGCCTTCCTCCAGTGTATCTGGGTGTCCCAGGGAGCACGTGTAGGGCAGTGAGGCCTGGATACACATATCCAGCAGTGCTGTGATGAGTGCACCTGTGTGCGGAAATCCCTCAGTGTAGAGCAGTGAGGCTGAAATTCCCCAAACAGAGAAACCATCCAGGCTGCAGACGGAGCACTGGAACAGGCTGCCCACGGGGGTTGTGGAGTCTCCTTCTCTGGAGATACTCAAGACCTGCCTGGACACACTACTTGTGTGACCTGGTGTAGGGAACCTGCTTTGGCAGGGGGGCTGGACTCGATGATCTCTGGAGGTCCCTTCCAAGCCCTACGATTCTGTGATTCCCGTGGGTCCCATTCTGTCTCAGGTCAGAGAGGCACTGGAAGCCTGGCAGGCTGGGCACAGCACGTGTGATTTTTGGTGAGAAAGAGTCTCCAGCTCCCTTCGGAGAACAGCAGTCCCTCAGCAATAGTGGTAGCAGCTTTATGGAGAATAGCAGCTTCAAGGAGAGCAAGAGAAGAGCTGGGACTTTCCTGGAGGTTGGGTCTTACCCGAGGGTAATGGGTCTTATTAAAAAGAAAGAAAAAAAAAGTGAAGCATAAGAAGGAAATTCTCTAGCAGTGTGATCCTATATTTTTCATGAAGTACCCTAGAGGCAAAATAATCACACTTTTTGCACGCAAGTCTCTGTTCAGGGTGCCCCTCTGTGCTGCTGTAGCTATTGCTGGGCAACCTGTTGGTGATGGACAAAGCCCAGCCCTCTCCAAGGTTCATGCACTAAACCTACTCTGAAGAATATCCTCAGGTCCATACTCACTGATATTCAAAGGCACCCCGCGTGCAGTCGGTAGATGGCACTGAACTTTCACTTGTACTTTCTTTCCAGTTAAATCAGAGCACACTGAGTGGCGGTGCATAGCAACCCTCAGCAGTTGTTTCGTGGCAAATGACCGAGGTTCTGACCCCTGCTGGAGCTGACAGGTGGGACCCTCGCTGGCTGCAGAGACACAGTGTGTCAATGACCAGCACACCCTCATGAAAATGGCACCCTACATTCCTTTGTCCAGTTTGCAAAATCAAATCACCTTTGTAGCCAAAAGCAGGGACATATTACCAGAATACTGCTTTGGAGGGGATGCATCCTAAGTAAACTGAAATAATGCTACAAATAAACCTGTGGTGTTTTTTTTTTAATTCCTCCATGTCAAGCACCGATCCTCGTGAGTAAGCACCACATATCTTGGATGCCACACATGAAAGTGGAAGCATGCACTTTTCCCCTCAGAACAGTCTCATTAGAGCTGCCCAGGGGCGGTACTGCAAAGGATAGACAAAACCTCGAGCCTCCCCTTGGGTGCCTGCACAGCAGTCCCTGGCTCAGAGCTACCTGAGAAGCCAGAGCAGAACCTGAGGGGAAGGTCTTACCACTCTCCTCCCCCACCCATCCCTTTCCCTCCTGTGGTACGTGAATACCCCTAGGGATAAGGGCAGCCCCCTCTTTCCTGCCACCCCCTCCCCAGAGCTCCCCCTGGGTAAGACTGCAGCACACAGAAGACAAGCAGCAGCCAAGCAGATGATTAGACGAACCCATCTGCATCTGCAAGGAGTGCTGTGCACAACAGCTGCTTCACCCTCCCCCGTCCCCAATCCTACAGCCTGACACAGAAGAGCTGCTGGTGGATGCCTGCTGCTGCTGCTGGGAGAATAGAAATAAAAACGTGGTTGCCTTTTTCCACCTGAGCAGGCACCAGACAGACGTCAGCTGTTCTAAGCTCACCGTGGTATGTGGCTGACCTTTTCAGCACACATTTCAACACACTGCAGAGCATTTGGCATCGCACTGAGTTCGGTCCGTCACTCACAGCTGGAAAAGTGACCCTGCTCCTACAAATACTAAAAAGTGAAGCTCTCATCTCACAATAAAGTCACTCTCAGAACACTCAAATCTAAAAATGAAAGTTTATTAACATCTCAGAAACAGGAAAATGTGTACTCAAGACCTTTGAGTTTCATAGGCAAGTGTTCCTTCCACGTGTAGCTCCCACTTCTGCCTGGCACCCAGGGATAACTGGAGATGTTTCCCAGCCAGAGCTTCTTCAATGTTTCTCAAAGCACACAAACAGGAGCAGCTTCCAGGGGGGCATTTAGGCACTGTTAGCTCACCACTAAATCAGTTTTCTAAGTTGTTTGAGTACGGAAAAGGATGCATTATAAACACAACCTTGGCCAGCTGGCTGACGGAGCAGGGCAGTCCCTGACACAGCAGCTGCCACTCTCAGCAGCATTTCACAATTTAAGCCAAACCACAGCTCAAAGCATTGGAGGCTTCTGCTGAATCAAGGAGTACAGAAGTGCACGTGGACAGCTTTGCTTTGCACACTTAACCAAGAGGCACGGCGTGCTGACTGACAAGTGGTAGTTATCCACTTGGCTACCTACTTGTAGCTTACAGCACAAAACCAGGATCTTTTAGTAACAGTTCTCCTTCCTCCTTTTAAAGAAGTGGTCTTACCTGGCTCAATTGCAGAAGATTGAATGTTTTGCTACTGACTCAACACCTTTTCATTTTGTCTTTGATTCTCACGCAGAGAACAGCCCTGCAAACAGAAGGGACTGCTTGTGGCCGATGTCAGGTGCTCAAGCATCTTGCTGGGCTGGGACTAAGGCTGTCAGCTCCTGGCACAACCAGGCACCACAGAAGTTAGACGGAAAGAAACGAGACAACCAAAAAAACTCAACCATCCTCCATACCTAATTGTGAACTATCACTTTAGATGCTTCTCCCATTGGGAAGTTAGTCTCCATGTGTTTAGTAAGACAGGGAAATGCAGCCTTTTCTCCAATGGAAAAGTGCAGGAGCAGAAAAAGTGGTTTTCTTACTTCATTATCAAAGCCAGATGCCCCTCAGTGGAAGTGTTTGCTCCAACTGCAGCTCTTGCTCAGAAAAATATGCTGGGTTATCAAAATGCTGTGTACCAGATCTACGTAACCAGCGTTTGTTCTCAGAAATACTAATTAATGTGGAAAATAAATGCCTTCAACAGAAACGGTGGCTAAAATATTTTATTTTTTTATATCATAGAACATACTGCTGTTTGATTTAAATCACTTTAGAGTAAAGGCACACATTGTTAAAAATACTTCAAATTACATTACATGTACAAACGCATGAAACAGATGTACATGTCACCAAAAAAATACAGTATGGCTTCGTAAGGCTGAGGCAGGGCTGGGACAGTTCAACAGAGTTAAGTTTTACAGGATGCTCTAACACTGAGAGGACTGACTAGAACAGAAAAGAATGGACCTAAAACACTGATTGTTACACAGACAGTACAACACATCAGATACACAACACTGAGCAGTCGGGTTTGGATTCGCAGGACTGACAGACAGGACTGCAAATCCATCGGGCTTTCAAGTGCCACTGAGCAAACAGTGCATACGTGTGCCAGTTTGCAACAGCGAGGAGAAACTGCAGGTTCTGTCCCCAGACAGCCTCCTTCATATCTGCTGATGATATGCTTAAAAAGAAAGAAGAAAAAGTGAAACAAAGACTCAAGATAGTAACTGCTGATAATGGCTGATCAACAAGCGGACAGCTTACACTTCTAAACAGCATAGATGTCAAGTCTGCGACAATGCTCCATGACAACTGTCTAGCATTAGTCCCACCCGAGTTTAAGGCTCATGTCTAAAATTTACCTTAGATTTGTTTTCCTTTGTGTAAAATTACCTGAGCACAGAT